GACACAGACACATACACAGACACCACACCACCCACACACACGCACACACACACTATATATATACAGACACACAGACAGACACAGACACCCACACCCACACGCACACACACACACATATATATATAGATATGTATATGTATATATTCACACATGTCTTCCAAACAAGTAATCGAGATTTAAATCGCAATTGAGCCAATCGTCACAAATGACGAGTGACTGATGGAATGCCTTTGTCTATGATGTGATGTCAGATCTTACTATTCGTTATAGCAGCCTGTAATCAATCCTTGTGCTCATCTCTACTGAGAGTAAACCAACCAACAGAACGGATGTATGTTTTCACGCCAGTTACACTGTGACCCGAACAGGGCACTCAGAACAAACTGAGTTGGTCCGTGTCCAGTACTAGTCACCACACAAAGCCTCTACCACCACACTGTCTATCCACTGGTGCTGAACCATAGCTGTTTCCTGTATACTCAAGAGCGTAGGGATGGACCGAAATGGCACACTTACAACACATGTCAGCCTTTATAAACAGCTACATACATACGTACTATATACATACCTACCATGTATATACCTACTTATACATACCTACTATCTATATACCTACTATCTATATACCTACTATATACATACCACTATGTACATACCTACTATATACCACACAACACACTCACCTCGTGGTCATCTTCATATGCGCATCTAGCACAGCCAATGTCTCACCCGCAGAGGGGTCGATTAGGACGCCCTTGTTCACTGACTCACTGGGCATATGTGCTTGCTCAGTGGCAGCGCCAGCCATCTTCGCCAGGACTCTATAGAAACCTGAGAAGTACGAGTATATTGACTAGTGCCTACAGGTATATATATATATATACATGTACATGGATTTACATGGTTATGCGTATTCCGGTATACTTGTATCTAGATCTGCTATATAAACCTACATTCCACAATTTCCATTGACAATAGCAATACCCATCTGATACGTTGCCCGCGTGCATTCACATAATATGCTTCAATCATTCCACATACAAGTGCAAAATGCGCCAAGTGCGTGTCACATGCGAGCGAAATGCACAGCATGCATGCGGCACGCTTACCTTTGACAAACGTAGACCCACTATCCTTCAGCTTCTCATTCTTGATGGCCACCTGTGTAAAGGCATATCATGGTAGAAACACAAGAAGAGAAACGTGTGTGGATAATAATAATAATACTAATAATAATAATAGCAATGATACTATATATATATATATATATATCATATACATACACACACACACACATATATATACTACATACTATAC